TTTAGAAGCCTCGCAAGTATGCAATTTTAAGATCTCGTGATATACTTCACAAACCATGATAGTAGTAAATGTATAAATCAATGTTTAGGTGTTAGCTATGTAAATACATAAGAATTGTCGGGAAAGTATTATACCAACATTTTAACCTAAATACCTTCACGTGCCATAGAAATAAATACCATTGTTGTAGCTCGTATTGTCCATATATATATCTATATGGATTATGTAATATATATCTATATTCCAACAATGACTATAAGAGAGTGCAATTTCCATAACGAAGAGTCCTTCCTTTTTCTTGCATAGGAATTGGGTGGTAATTTCCAGGAATCCAACGAAGACTACTTCATTTTTCTTGCATAGGAATCCAAGATGGGGACAGAGGAGAAGGAACATAAGGTTTAACCCTATAGCAAGCATAATCTCATGCATAAGGCCTATAAATTCCACAAATTATAGCATTTAACATCCACGCATTTAAGCAAGATAATTAACAATTTATCAAGATCGACCATATCATCACTAGCAGAGAGGTGTCGAGTAACTGCGACGAAAACACTAGCTTCGGACTAATGGTGTTCGTTTTTTCCACAGGATGTTGCAGCTAGGCGAAAGTAAGGGTTGCGCTGAAAACATACCTCATATGAGTGTGAAATGAGGAGGAACGAACGACGAGGAAGGACCGGCGAGAAGGAAGACGCGGTGTCAATCCCGCGAAGGTGAAGGAGCAGAAGGAAGAGCAAGTTAGATCAGCGAGGGCGAGGGTGAGGGTGAGGGTGAGGGCGAGGGCGAGGGTAGATCAGCGAGGGCGAGGGTGAGGGTGAGGGTGAGGGTGAGGGTGAGGGCGAGGGCGAGCAGAGAAAAGCACAAGATGAAACTAGACCCGAAAGCGAGAAGGAAGACGCGGGACGCGGGGTCGATCCCGCATCCCCATCTATTAAGGAATTTGAGAACAACGTTTAGGTGCGGCTCCAAAACGCAAGGTCAAACGTGTTTTTCAAACTGTGCGCACACCAATAAGCTGCCTTAAACTGACCCTAATTCATGAGAGTAATAGTCCATGTATTGTACCAACTTTGATAACGCCCTAGAAAAAATAATAGTGGAGTATGTGCATTAATTATAAAGCAATGAACAAGATCACCAGTAAGTATTGATCTCTAATTCCTAAATTGGATGACTTGTTGGATTAATTATATGGAGCTAGCATCTTCTTCAAGATTAATTTAGGCAATAGATACCATCATATTCGAACGAGACACATGGACAAGTGAAAAACCTCCTTCAAGATGTTGGTAGGTTGCATGAGCAGACAATTTAAGCACTTTTATGAAAATGTTGAACCAAGTTTTTCGGATCTTCATCAAAAAATTTGTGATTATCTAATTCGACAACATTTTGGTGTGTTGTTATTCGGGGGAGCATTTTTAGCATGTGCAATAGATTTTGGGAGTTCTTCAGTCATAACAATTGCATGGTCATCTAGAGAAGTCACTTTTTGATACTATTGCCTTCTTTCTGTGAGAGGTTTATCAGAAATTTCAGCCTTACTATGGAAGCCTTAATAGAGATTCTCAAGGCAAGCGGATTTGCTTTGTCATATGAAGTACAGGCTATTTTGATGCATTGAAAAAACAGGTTGCTCTAGCCCATGTCCAGCTCTTCCAAATTTTAGAAAGGAATTCGAGGTTGGACGTGATGCCTCTAAAGTGGGGATTGGAGCTATATAGACTCCAAGTGGACATATCACCGCCTTTTTTTAGTGAGAAGAATGATTAAAAGCAAAAATACTCCAACTACTACAAAAAGTTTTATGTCATTGTGAAAGTTATTAGTCATCCAACTTATAATTTTCTAGCCAATGATTTCACCCTTACACTGATAATGAGGCCTTGAAATTCTTGAATAAATAGAGTAAGGGTCTGTTTGGGGCAGCTGTTGATTATTTATAAGCAGATTATTCTGATAATCTTATAATCTGCAGATTATCAAAATAAGCTGACTTACTGTTTGTGGCGGTTTATTCAGAATAATTTATTGATAGTTATGACTGTATAAATGACCTTCTTGACCATGTCTGGTAAAACTGTTTGGGGCAGCTTATTCAGAATAGTTTATTGGTACTACATAAGCATATAGTGCAGAAGCATAAAATCATCACAGATCAGTTCGAAAATATGACGAGCAATTCTCACATTCTCATGAGTATCAAAAAAAATAAAAAAAAAGATAAAAATAAGTACAAGTACAATGAGAAATATTAAATATTCAATTTTAAACTCTGACTACGTCTGTCCTCAGTTGCACTATCAACCTGGGAAAACAACGCAAATTTAAAATCTAGCAAAATCAGAGAGCACAAGTGAAACAAAAACTGTCTCCAAATTTTAGATCTAGCAAAATCACTCATCCAAAATTCCATAAAAACTGCATCTAACCTCTGAAACCAACAATGATGCAACGAGGCACAAGTGAAGGGTCGAAAGCATACCAGGCGGGAAACTAAGGTTTCTTTAGGAGGGCGAGGGCGAGGGAGAGCAGAGGGTCGAATTTTTACCTAATTTGTCTCAACAGCCGCGAGGAAGAGGTGGCTGAAGGCGAGGGCGAGGGGCACCGGAGAGGGACACGGGAGGTCCTTTTCACCTTGTCGTGCGAACTAAACGCAGGACGAAAAGGGAGTCGAGCTTGTGAGAGTTTCCATATTTCCTCCTAATATTGCGTCGGAGCGGCCCGAGAATGCTTGTGCGAACGTTCTTTCCAAACAACATTGCGGCGTTTTCATACCGCCACCGCGCTCAATAAGCTGCCCCAAACAGACACTAAGTTGAAAGGTAGACATACCTCCTAAGTTAAATTCTTATATTCTATTCAGTTTGAGCTTAAGCATAAAATTGAGAGCCAAAATAAAGTTATTGACACCATAAATCGCCGTCATATGTTGATTATTATCATGCAACCTAAATTAGTTGTCTAATTAGTTGTCTTTTAAGTGTTGAAGGATATGCATGTCATCGATGATAACTTTTAGGAGATTTAAGCCCATTGTTAAGAGAGAACTTTTGAGAAGTATCACTAACCCAAATTTTAAATGTTCATCCAAAACAGGGAAGCTATCTTACGGAAGTGTTACAATGGATGAATAATATGATATTTTGGCGATGACAAGTCTCTTTCCTTTGTGAAAGAAACTTTTATACACATATAAGATAATACAGAATATACCATTTGGCTAAGACTCAAAGGTATAGCACAGGTTTCTATATTTCATTGTCTGTTCTAGAGCTCCTATAGGTGGATGTGAGCATGGACTTAATTGTGGAGCTTCTACGAACCTAACTGACTAAATATTCTATTATGGTGGTAGTTAGTTGCTTCTTCAAGATCGCATATTTATATCATGTCACAAGATGATGGACGCTTCACACATGGCAACATATTTCAGGAAGATAGTTTGATTTCATGGTGTGCCCAAAACAATCACCTCAGACATAGATGTGAAATTTTTTAATCACTTCTGGACTATCTTATGAGGCAAATTGATTCCAAAGCTCCAGGTCAGTTCAACAATGCATAGAAGAACATATAAGATGGTGAATTATAGTTTGGGAAATATTCTTAGATGTTTTTTAAGAAAAAACATCAAACATTGAGACCTAATTATTCCTTGAATTGAGTTTCTTTGTAATACGTCAACTAGCCAATTCATAGGTCACAATCCTTTTGAGATTATATACAAATAAAACCCTCTTACACCTTCCGAGTTGATGTTTGTAGTTCTAGCTATTGAGCTTAGTACTAAAGCAGAGACCAAGGTTGGAGAGATCCAGACATTACATAAGCAGATGAGAAAATAAATTACCAAGTAAAACACGAAATATCAGAAATAGACTGACCAACAAGTCTAGAAAGGCTATGGGCTTTAAGGAAAAATAGACTGACTAAAAAGTCTAGAAAGGCTATGGTCTTTAAGGAAAGATATTTATGTGGATGAGACTAAAAAGAAGAGATTTCAAGCAGGTTCTTTTGAGAAGCTCAAGCCTAGAGCTGACGACTAATTTAAGATTGTAAAGAAGATAAATGATAATGAATACAAGTTTGATTTGTCCAGAAATTACAATATTATCATACCTTCAATGTTGTGAATTTGTCATCATATTATGGGGATCTATATGCTTTCAGTGAAGTAGGCGAAGCCCCTCCTAGACAGGGAGATTGAGAATCTACATCACCACCTTGGAGCAGGATATAGATGAAGCACCACCTGTCGACGGATGAAACCCTAACAAGAGGGAAGAGACTCCACACAAGAGATCAGAAGACCACTTTACAAGAACAGACTCCCTACACACAAAGGACAATAATTTATAATTTATAGACTCCCGTTGGACAAATGAAACTTTTAGACAAAGGAAGAGGGTGGAAAAGTAAGAAGATTACAAAAAACCCAAAATTCCACCTTCAGCGTCTTCCTAGATTGCGTAGGTTTGCAATCCCTCCCAAGCCCTCAAGCGAGTTCGCGATCCCTCCCTAGCCCTCGTGCGAGTTCGCGATCCCGCCCGCTCCACTGTTCATGGAAAGATTCGCGATTTTCTATCCCGCAGAAACGAAGCATCCCACGTCGGGATGCATTCGGCACTCGCACACGAGCGCTAATTCAGCACCTGCGTCACTTGGTGTTGTATACCTATGCATAAAAAGGTTTATTTCAATTTCTAAAAAAATAGTGGTGGTTGCAATTCTGATAAGATGTTAAACTTTTGAGTTGTATGCATGAAAACATGAATTTTTAGGTGTTAGAAATATAAACACAAAAGAATTGTGTGGTATGTATGCAGATGCCCCAATAAAAAAGCAGTATATAACAAATAAAATTTAAAATGGAGCTTTGGGCCTAAGGCAGAAGAATTAGAAACAAATAATGATTTCATAATTTAGTAATTAAAAAAATTTAGTAACTTGTACAGGAGAATGACAAATCAGGCACTATCGGAAAGATTTACCTTATTATGTTCAGGTGTAACAAAACTATCTTTGCAGATAGAAGCAATAATGTCACCAAAATCATCCAAGCAGGTACCCATTGATTGCACGGCAACCAAAATGTAAGGTTTCAACTTCATCAAACAATTGCTAATTACCTTCTCAGCTAGTCTGCATGCAACAGGTATAACGCCCTATAGAAAAGAATGCTTCAAGTGAGGGAATATTTTATAGAAGAAAAATTTACATGGGTGGCACACAATTCTTATGTATTTACATATATAACACCTAAACTTTCATATTTACATACATATAACTTGGTTTTTTAAACCTATAGATAAAATGGGTATTTCACTTTTAAAAAAGTTGTAATAGTACTACTTTTAATGTGATATTAAAGATTTGGCTACTACGTGTGTAAATATGGAAGCTTAGGCGTGAGATATGTAAATACATAAGCATTGTGTGCCATGCATCCAAATACCCCTCTATAGAAACAAGAGGCTGGAACAAGCAAGCACATGATATATGGCACCATTCACCTTTGTTGACTTCTGAACATTAGACAGCAAGCAAACGAGAAGTTCCAGGGAGATATCTTCACTCTCTTCCAATATGAGTGTCATGATGGCCTCCATAGAAGAAAATACATTAGTAGGGTGGTCTGGCCTGAAAGATTTTATAAGTTCCTTATCATATAATAACAAAAAAATACATTAATATGAGTACATTTCAACCAGGATAAGCATCTACAGGATGGTTTCCCACCCTAATAGAAGTACCAATATTGATCATATTTGATGAAAATTTACATATTCAAGCAAAGAGGGGCACGGTAAAAAGACCGCCATGTGCAAAATTAAGATTCTAGACTAATTATCAGATGTCTGCTGACACGCACACTTAGTAGCTTAGGCCAACTAAGGCATAAAAACTCAATAAAATAGGAAATAACACAAGAGTTAATATAAGTAAATTGAGCATAAACTACAATATTTAAAACAAGAATCCTGCAATTTTCCACACCGGCTGAAATCCAAATTGAGAAGTCAAATTCCAGCAAATCTTCAAAAAAATAAAAAATAAAAAATAAAAAACAGACAAAGAATTCCATATCTATATCATAACCAGCTATAAACAACTTTATATACTTGTGAATGTGATTGCCGCCATTTAAAATTATGAAATGATGTGAATATTCAATTACCAACTAGACATTATTGTAGTAAATTTAAACATAACATTAAATGAATATGTGGATTGTAAACTATTCATGATTAAATCAAGCATAGCATCATTGCTCTTTAGACATCATTCCACCAAACACCATGTCCTTTGCCCGCTACCCCCCTAACCTAGCACTACCACCTCCACCTTTTAGCTTGCATGTTATCATCACTTGCACGGACAAGCCATCGATAGTTTGTTCCCGTGTGTATGTCCCAGTTGAGGTTACTTGAGGGTCACCGACTCGACGCTCAACTGACGCGTTATGCCTACCATCTCTTGTCTGAACATGCCCATTCAAAGCCAAATCGCGCTTTGTATGGAGAGCATCCAATAATCATGTATTTTTATCCTTAGAAAATAACATGTAAATAAGCAACATCAATAAATACAATACCAATCACACAATTCTTCCTTGCCAATAACCACATGTGTTGATTACCCGGTTAGGTGAATTCAAGGACTCCTAGAGCCACAGTTATGAGTAAATTCGGGTCAATCGGCCAAGTTAAAGTCTAGCCAAATTTATTCCAAGAGAACTGACATGACCAAAACCGAACATTTTTATTGAAGGGTCAAAAAGTGGATCGACCATGCTCACTTCGAGCCAGACTAGCCCAAACATGACCAAAGTAACCCACTCAACATAAAGTACAGCAGCCATTCAGAACAATTTTAGATTTTCGACATCAATTCAAGTTAAAAATAAATTTTGGATTAAATTTAAGTAGATTTTGGGATGGCCGGTCAACCCACATTCGAACAAAAAAATTAAACAAATCAATATTATGGCCCCAAACCTGACTCAAAAATTAATTAAATTAACCAAAACCCATAACTTTTTAGCCAAAATCAACCCTTCTTTTTCTAAGAACAGCCATCAAATTGATTAATCCTGCAATTGCCTAGTGCAAGCACTCATGTGTAGAATGCCTGTATTGCAAAGGTTGTGTGATCTACATTGAGCTTGTTAAGGTAAATGAAGCAATCCAAAGATCAAAATACTATGCACAAAATAGAAGAGCACGTCCTTGGAGGATCGTTATTCTCTACCCACCATTGCAAAAGGGCATGTACAAATTGGGTCTTGTACCATTAACACCTAAAGGAGTGTATTAAATTCAATTTGATGCTTTAATTGGCTAATTATGTGAAAATTTTATACCTAAAAAACAAATACATCAACAGAAAGGTAGACATGCAGTATAAACTAAAAATGAACTCAAGGATTCTGATTAGTAAACATATAACAAATAAACCTTTTCATTAACCAAAAAGGCAAGGTTCAAAAAAAAAGAGGCGATGCTTACCTTATGCTTTTCAGGAAATATTTGAACATGTGTAGAATAAGATCATCACATTCAAGATCCAACATTACAACACAAGAGTTAACTTTTGCCATAATTTCAAGAATAGTAACTCTCTTGGAATATGAGCATCCCGACATATCATCCAATTTATCAAAAGCATCAACAATCATTGCAAATATCTCCTGTACACAACCAAACCCAGCAATATTTATAATTCGACGAGTGCATAGTAAAATTAATTTATTTGCATGAATAACAAAGAATGACAAAATATGGTTTGAGAATAATGAATGTTTCACAAACCTTCATCAAAACATCATTATATGGAGCATCAGGAGCAGTTACTCTAATGATTTCATGGATGCAAGCTGCAACAAAAACCTTAACATCTGCCTTTGTGTGGTTTAAAAACTCTTTGGTGATCAATGAATTCATTACAGGGCCCAATGCATCAGACATTGAGGATGATGGAGATTGTTCCACCCTTGAAAGATAGATTTCAGTTTGCTGGAATTCCAAAATCATAAACGGACATTGCAATAATTAATAATAAAAATCACAATATCCATACATAAGTATGTGCAAATCCAACTCTATCAAGCCTGCATAACAATGCACAATCTGACAACCATTACAAAAAATCAGCAATATTAGAAGAGTTTGGCATGCTCCACATTAATATATGGAAAACCCCATACATTCAGCTAAAACATGCTAAAATAAAAGATTTCATATTATGACAACTAACAAATAAATAGAATGAGGACCTTTGTTCCGCACAAAAACTTGATTAATCTTTCAAGCTTTAAAGACCCAAATCAGCACTACTAACAACAAACAGCAACAGTAGCCCACATCAATTTTAATACAAATAACGGACTGTAACTTCCACAATGATTAGGAAAGAATAGAGATACTACTAAAATAATGTATACTTCCAACAAAATTTTGCTACTAAACATTTCCCTTCAACTATCCGAACAAAGCAAATCAGACGAATCTGACGTTTTAATGCAATTTAAACACCGTCAAAAATATAGGAAATATCACAGCCGCAATGCATGCAAATATAAAACCCCACCCCTTCGCAATCCGCATTTCCTTGGAGAAACGGTAAGAGACGGAATGACATGAAGGGGAGCGAAGAAGATAAAGCATATGCATAGTACTTACATCGAGAATACGAAGTAGTTCGTCGATATCCGTAGGAGGAGAGGCGAGCCTCACGCCCAACTCCCTCAGCCGAACCTCTACCTCCTTCTCCGTCGGCTCCATTTCTGATGGCCGATACTAAGCTTCCTACTCCAGAATAGCCTCACACCGAATAACCAATCAACCACGCGCGCTTTTAGGTCATGAATCCAGCTGCAGAGCTTTTCAAATTTTGAGGATTGCAGAAAGGGCTAGGGTTTTGGCGACGTTCGGTGGACTGTTGATAGATTTTAGCGATGCATTGTTTATGGATTTTAGGAGAAAAATGTATGCAGCTCAAACTTCAAAGCCACTTCGTTGTTGTATGTAATTTTAAATTTAACCATTGGCTTGATATGTAAATATTCACTTTGTCAAATTTTAATTTTTAAACAATTATCATACATTTTGCAATTTTAAATTTTACTCGAGCTTTTATTCTATAAAACTTACATTACAATCTAGCTCCGGATTGATTTTCTTAGACTACCGGATTGTTGAGCCTACACGTGCACAATTAAACTATTGGGAATTTGATAAAAAATAAAAAAACACAGGTTAAGGCTTTATTCTATATTTTTGAATTTGAGTGAGAATTTCAGAAGTGTATCAAAGAGTAGGAAAAAGTTTGTGTGCGGTAGACGTACGCAGCGCTGCGTGCGATATTGGGATTATACCGAGAGTATAAGGGAGTTACATCCGCGATATAACCTCTTGTAACCTCTCTGTAACTTCCTGTAGTCTATTTGTACCCTAAAATAAGTTTCGTGTTTCTGTTATCATATATTAAGAGATTACACGTAAGTTACAATGAGATTACAATATCATATATTAAGAGATTACACGTAAGTTACAATGATGTTACAATGGCGGCTTATACTGTGGATGTAACCCCCTTGTACTCTCGGTATACCCTAATATCGCACGCAGCGCTGCGTACGTCTATCACACGCAATTTTTTTCCCAAAGAGTATGATAATTTTGTAAGAAGCAATGTTCCTAGTACTATGTCTGTAATTGTCTCTATATGTTCATAATACAGATCCACTAACACTCTCAAAAACTCGAATCTTAATTCAAATGAAACACATAATAGAACTTGCATGTGATTCCTACATGATATATTTCTTTCAATGTTTTTTGAAAATTCCAAATATTCTTTATAGCCGTTGCATTGCTCCAAGTGTGAATCATCAAAAAACTAATGAAAGTTATGTTAATCCAGTGAATAGTACTATTAAATAATAAAATTAGAAACTTTTAATCAAAATGGAAACTAATTCCATTGCTTGCTCATGTCTAAGTTTAATTAACATATACTTCTATATATCATATTATGATTGTTTTAAATGATTGAATGCATTGAAATCAGATTATAATGATTAATAAAATAAAATATTGGTATAATTTGCTTAAGATATTTTACACATTTTCTTTAAAAAATTGGGCATAACACATACAATGCCTTTTCCAATAGTTTACATAGTTTTCTCCTTTGTGTGCTTGTCAATGAGCTCACTAACGTCGTGGTCTTTAAAGCTCTAAAATGATTAAAATAAATTGGAACATGAAAACATTAAATGTCCAATAAATATATATGATTTTAAATGACTTTTAATGATTTATGTTTTGAAATATTAGCTCGGATATCATTAACGAGCTTAGAGAAAGAGAGGGAGGATGGAGAATGGGCCCATTTGGGGGGTACTGTGTATTAATTGAAAATCATACAAATATCTTTGTTAACGTTTTTTTTTTCATATATTTCGTAAGAATACAACTAAAATATTTTAATTATTTATATTGACAAGTTGGCGAAGCACCCTGATAACCTCCTTGAAAATGTTTTGTGAGAGATCCTCGAAAAATCTCTTTAAGAGCAACCTTGACACGAGAAACTTCTAACTCTCCTCATGAATGGGCTAACATGATTAATTTGCATCACCCTCTCAAGATTTTGTATGTACAAGCATTGAGATAGAAAGAGTGCAACTTGAATGCAATTGCCCTTAATTGTGGTTGCATGAGTTATTATAACTCACCTCGATCCACAAAAAGTATTCATAATTTAAGATAAAATTAAATGCTTTGACTTTTATAAAAAATAATTTGTTAAAAGCAACAAAATGTTTAAAACAATTGTTGAACAAGCAAGTGATTTTAAATATTGACCTTTGAAATTATAAACTAGGTGAACAAGACAATTCACCGTCAAAGTTTAGCATAATTTACAATTCAAATCATGTCATAGTTTGTCGACAAAGCTTTTATCTCAGTCATCGGCTGCCTCATGCAACCCTATATTTTTCACATCCCGGGCTTGTTAGCGCTGGAGCCTGATTTCGATCCCGCTCCCGCCTGTCGCGCTCGATCGTGAATCATCGCGATTGCTCCTGCTCCACTATCATGATACATGTTCCCGCCGCTCCCTTGTCCCGATTTGCGAAGAGTCACACCTCCCTGCTGTCGTGAACCGTTCCCGCCTCCCGTCTCCCTTAAGTTGAGAACAGAAGAGAAAAAAGTTTCTAAGTCACGCTTTGGAGTTCTTCTTTAAGCTTCCTTGGGATAGAGGAAGAGTTCTCCGAGTTTCCTCAGGATACAGGAAGAGAAGTGCAAGGTGTAGTTCCTTGTGACAGAAGGTGAAGAAAGAATAAAAAAAAAAGAAGAATATGTTCTCTCTTAGCTTCTTCTTGGTGGCTTATGGCAAAAGAGAAATTAGGTATATTTATTTGGTAAGTTTATCTTCTTTGGTGTATCTCGGTGTAGAGTTTCTTTGTTGTATATCGATGTAGAGAGAGAAGAAGAGAGAGCAACGAAGCGAGAGATTCCTCTTGTAAGTCAAGGTATTCGACTGATGTAAATTCCTCAAGTAGTAAAATCCTCTACAACTTCGTGGACATAGGCAATTTGTCGAGCCAAGTAAATCTGTGTGTTTCGTTGTGTTATTATTTTCTGGTGTGAATTTTCTCGTTCTATTTTTCGCTTCAAAGATCGTTCTCCTGTTTTATTGATTTATAGATATACCACAAGAACGACCGATATATCTAGATCCCACAACAATTGTTATCAGAGCTTTGGTCGGATCTGAGGAAAAATGATTGTTTCAGATGAAGTGAAGGTTTTAGGGATCGAGAAGTTTGACGACACATATTTTGGTTACTGGAGGACGCAAATAGATGACTACCTTTATGGGAATAAACTTTATCTTACATTACTGGGGAAAATACCTGAAATGATAGATGGGGCTGAATGAAATTTGTTGAATCAACAAATTTTGGGGCTATAAGAAAATTTCTCAATGTCAGTTTGTATTCATGTCAGGCAAGTCTATCATGGAACTTATAAATTTATTGAGAGGCTTGATGGAAAAATATAGAGATAATAAGGATGATTTGTATATAATTCTAGCTGATTTAAAAATAAGCTTTTGATAAAATTCAAATAATGCTATGGCGAGTTCTAGAAAAGAAATGTGTTGATATTGTTGATATTCGAGTCATTAAAGATAGATATCCATGAGTTATTCGTTGTGTGTTGAAGGTAATGATGAATAGCCAAGTATTTTTCTATTTCAGTTGGAATATATTAGAAATTGACATTGATCATATATTTTTGCTTTTTGTTATGGATGCTCTTATGGATATATTTTTGCTTTTGTTATGGATGCTCTTATGGAGATGTACCTTGGTGTATGTTTTTCACTAATGATATCCTTCATTTGGATAAGACAATAGTGGGTATAGGAAAGAACTTAAATTATGGAGGCCTAGTTTATAGACTAAAGACTTTCATTTGAGTATATTTAAAACTTAAAACATGAAATATAATTTTAGTAATAGTTGACATCTAAGTGAGGTTGTAATAATGTGTGATCAACAACAACAACAACCTTCAAATGTACTGCTTAGACTCAAATGAAAATTTTATAAAATAACGGTGAGATTTGCAATGTTTTGTGGTTGGCTTAAGGATAATGTATTTTCATTTATTTATCTTGTGGTTGGCTTAATAACGCAGGAAAATAAAAATGACCCTATAACATATATTGAGTTGATAAGTCAAACATATCATTTGTTTATATGGGTCGCATGAACTGAGCTAATTAAGATAAGCCATTTAATTTATTGAAACAAATAGTTTATAAAGAATATTTGAAGAGGAACCAACTATCAAAAGTCGCCTATTAATCCACTTAACAAGTAATCAACTCAGATAGGCCTCTTACTAATACCTAATTTGTGTCAACCTATTATCAATTCTCAATTTGCAGTATCTAATAACTACTCCAAATCAACAAGCTGTTGATATTCATGCTTGGTGAAAGTATGAATTCGCCATTATTGGTCTAATAAATACTTGAATTCAATATTCTTTCAAAAGTACATCTTATTCTCAGACACATATATCGAACACATATATGTCCATAAATAACACACAATGAATAGAGCGCAAGTACAAAGGAAAAAAATATAGTGGGGAAAAACAAGAGTCATAAGAGAGCAAAATTAATAATCCTCTTGCGCCTTTTCGAAAAATCTTATATACGTTTCACTGTTCTCATATTTATAATAAAGAAAAATTACATTATGAAATATTAGTAATATCATTGAGATATATTAGTAATGTCATTGAGATTTTCTATTGTTGGTCTGCAACAATAACAGACCAAACCATTATTACTTTTGTTGAATCCATTCTTATTGAGTCATTCTTTCACTCGCTTCTATGCTGGCGAGTCATTCATTTCCTTATTTGGCTGATCTTATCTGCTCATCTGATCGATTAATTTACACGATGGCTCGGAGTACTTGCACTCATTGGGATTGATTATTCAAGACTGTCAGATATGATGCTCTTTTGTGTTATGTATACCATCTTATCTCCCATGCATAATTTTAGTATGCATTGAGTTAATTTTCCGACAAATAAACAACTCACCATCCACCTCAAGGTAGCAAAAGCCAATCAAATTCTCCCACGTCATTCCAAATGCCACGTGTAGCATTCCAATTCGCCACCAACGCGCACTAACACGTATACGCTTTCCAATAAAACCCCAAAGAAATTTTAATTTCCGAACAAGACTGGTGCGAAGCAAAATCGACTCTACGATCAAAAGCCAACCACCTCTTACCCATCGCCGGCGATCCTCACTCGGGCCCCCTCCGTCCCGCCGCCGTGGCTTCCAACGGGCCGCAGCCACTCCACCGCCGGAAAGTTCCAGCAACCAATCCACCCCAAACCCTTGCTTCCGCCAGGATTCGACCGGCCGACGATATCTACCTCCCGTTCTGGCAGCAGAATTGGTTCCTTTTACTCCTCTTTTTGATGGCTCTTTCCTTATTCGGCCTCTCCATCTTTCTCTACGTCAGTTTGCAGCTCGACGAGGGATCCCCTATTCCTACCTCGGCGGCGCCGTCCGAGGGTGTGGAGGTCAGTGATTGCCAAGAGTCGGAGGCATATGGCTCTTCTTTGTATTCGTTTATTGATTTTTCTCGTTCTTTGTGAAGGTATCGTATGGAACGGTTCTCAAGCTTATGCACGAGAGGACCAAATTTCGGCTGCACTCTCATGACGTCCCATACGGTTCAGGGAGTGGGCAACAGTCTGTTACCGGATTCCCGAACGTCGACGATTCTAACAGTTATTGGGTATGCGTTACAGGGCTGCTTGATTTAACTTTTTGAATCATGGATCTATTTTTGGATGCTGCCATGCATTACCAATTAGACCACTGAACTATACTAGTTAAGATTTTGAGTAATATAGTGCTTGCAAGCTGCAGAGACCCTTACATAAACAAGGATTTTATTGAACATCCAGCTATGGTGTTATATATATATAAATTTAGTGCAGGGATTTGATAATTATTCTGGCAAGATTAGGGTTAGTATACTAGTTTTTCCCTCGATTTTTGTCCGATGCTGTTAATTTTGTATGTTTTGAGCATATTTGTTTACAGCTTGACTAATTAAAAACCTAACGCATATAGTTTGTAGAGGCATGGTTTATTCTGGTTGAAAAATGTAATGAAAATTATGTGAAGAGCTTTGTTCAGGAATGCTATCTTTGTATTTTAAGGGGCGATGCATTTGAATTTAGTATGTTAAATGTAGACGGATCATGCTTGTTTGTGTTTTCATGAGCTAACATGTACTTCATCTTCATTTTTAACTTGCCATTCCTTTGCCGTGTCAGCCATCTTTTATGTATTGTTAGAGGGCCTCAATGTCTAAGATTGATTTGATTTCTTTTATTCCTTCATCCAATATATTTTTTACCTTTTCTCATTGCCTTCTAGTTAGTTTTTTTGTTTGATACAACAGGTTAGTAAAATGTGTACGGATCTTTCAACGATGATAATTTGGATACCATAAGTCCATAACAAATTGAATTTTTGTAGAGCTTAGTAAGTGTTAATCCAGAGTATTCCTAAATTGCAATTTGTGATGGTGAAATACCTATTCTAAATATTCTAGAGCACATGAATATGTGATTCATAGTGACCTTTAATGCTAATATGAATTCTAAAGAGAAATGTGTCAAAATAGTCCTCTGACTCTCTGTATCTCTGTAGGGGGTCATTTTAGTCCCAAATTCTAAGAATGTCAATTTAGTCCCCAAAACATTTTAGTGCGTGCAGAATTAGTCTTCACGAAGGACTATTTTAGCCACAATTTAAAGAGTATGGGGTTTATAGACTTTGAGACTTAAATGGACGGATGTAAACGAACTATTTTGGTACTTTAGCTATAATGTCAGAAATTATGCGATTGTTGATAGCATTCCTTTTTTCATAGCTTAACTTCTTAGAAGAATTGACCTTTTTCGTGTGTTTGCTGAAGCACAACTTGAGATTTTTTAGTCAGGCATGACAATAAATCTAGCAGTACAAATTACTCAATCACCTTTGGGAAGTTATTGATACTTATATTTCCCTCCAAAAAAAGAATAGAAGGAAAAATCGCGTTTAAACTTCCATCCCAAATCTATCAATGAACTTAAAAGAAACATTTAAACCATCCTTTAATATTGTTTGAATATTAAGCTTAGAGCAATGATTAATTTGTCTCTGCTGATGTCTCTAACAAAGTCTTAAAGGGCAAATGCGTAGTGCAAGGCGTTTTGCATGTCGGGTTGGGGCAAAAGCCCCTAGGCCCATGTGTACATACAACAAGAACAAGCCTTTATCCCACTAAGTGGGGTCAGCTACATGAATCCTTTTTCTCTAGTGTGTTCTATTGAGTGTCATATTTTCATTTTGATTCTAATAGATTAAAATCATTTTTATACAATACGCCCAAATATTTTTACGCCTGTCTCTGTCTTTCTTAACATAAGTTGAATTTAAAACATCTACTCTCCTGATCGACGTTTAATGTGACCAAATCATCGAAGATGACTCTCTAATATTATCTACAACTGGAGCTACCACAACTATTTCACAGATAGATTCGATTAATGTGACCAAATCATCTAAGATGACTCTCTAATATTATCTACCACTGGAGCTACCACAACTATTTCACAGATAGATTCAATTCACATTTTGTCTCTAAGTGTAAAGCAACTCGTCCACCCAAACATTCTCATCTCATGAACACTTAACTTTATTTTGTGCTTCTCTTTTAAAGGCCAATATAATGTGCCATAAAAAATTGCAGCTCTCATCACCATCTTATAAGTTTTTCTTTAAGTCTAAGCGTTACTTTTCTATCACACAATATACACGACACATTCCTCCACTTCAACCAACCAGCCTAAATTCTACTAATAACATCCATGGTTACAACTCCGCCACTATAATGATTACTACTAAAATTACATTCAATGTATATAGTTTTAAATTTACTCAAACGAAGGTATTTAGACTCCAATGTAGGCCTCCATAATTCTAAGCTACTCCTAAACTCTTTCTCTAGTCATATCCACAAGAATGATGATAGTATCATCAACGAAAAACATGCACCAAGGTTCATCGTCTTGAAAATGTCCATTAAGAGCATCCATAACAAAAGAAAAAAAGATATGAGAATAAAACCGATCCTTGATGTAATCCAAATGAAATAGGAAAATTTCAGGCAAGCTTGGGAGATTTCGGCGCATAGTCTGTCAATCTTCTGTTTATACTCAGCCAGACAGACTTGGGGCTACAGTTGGCGTTGTCTTCTAATTTTTGGCAGGACCGGACGATCTTGGTGCCATGGTCCATCGGTCTTTTGTTTACACTCAATCGGACAATATTGACACCACTGTTGGATGTCTTCAAATTTCGGGCAAGACCCAGCTAACATGGCGTCAAAGTCTACCAGTCTTCTGTTTATGCTTAGCCACGGGGGGTATTTTAGCTTAT